GAAGCGTATCGAGGGCGTCCCGCGACCAAGTTCTCGACGTATTTCAACACCATTGCCAGCACAAATCACATCTTCACCCGTCGCGGTACCCAGGATTGCTCTCCCCAACCACGATAAGAGGCATCATCCTGCTGGATTCCGAGTTGCTGTCAGTGCTTGCAAGAGTTCTACATACCTCGGTGGTAGCTTTGTCGGCTCTGTTGGATGGCGAGACTTGTCATGAGAGTCGTTAAAAAAAAGTCGTGCACGCAGGCTGGGAGCAAGTTTCGCTGGTGGGTGGGGCCCATTGGAGCGATTTCGTGTGCCCTGGTGGTCCGTGCACGTAAAAATGCCCTAAACCATCACGCACCACGCACTCGGCCACCGGCAAATCCTCGTTTGGACCGTCCGTCCCTCCAAGCCCACCACCCTCAAGACGAAACTTCCGTCACTTACTTTTTCCCTTTAACCAAACACTTGAAGTCTTCGAGGATCGCCCGACAAGATAAACACTCAAGATGGTCAGTATTTCTAAACCCTCACACGAGCCGGTCCTTTGCGAATTACGTCTTGAAAGGCAGTATTTTGCAAGCAGCGCATCGCACCCCGCCGTCTCACACAGTCGACTCGAACTTGCCTTTATCGGGAAAAAAAGAACAATTGCTAACATGTTTCTCAACTTGTAGTCGGACGTAGAAGAGAACAACGCCCCCGAAGTCTCCGAGGAGGTTGAGGTTTCGGCCGATGCGCCCAAGGGCCAGATGTCCGTTCTGGACGCCCTCAAGGGTGTTCTGAAGCTGGCTCTCATGCACGATGGCCTTGCCCGCGGTCTCCGCGAGGCTTCCAAGGCTCTCGACCGTCGCCAGGCTCACATGTGTGTCCTGAACGAGAACTGCGAGGAGGATGCCTACAAGAAGCTTGTTGCCGCCCTCTGTGACGAGCATAAGATTCCCCTGATCAAGGTTCAGGATGGCAAGCAGCTTGGCGAGTGGGCTGGTCTCTGTATGTGAATTCCTAAAAACACAGCTCTCAGTGTCCATGCGCTTGGAAGGAAGACAATTTTGCTAACTATCAAATGACAGGCGTGCTTGACCGTGAAGGCAACGCCCGCAAGGTTGTCAACTGCTCTTGCGTCGTGGTCAAGGACTGGGGTGAGGAGTCGCAAGAGCGCTCCATCCTCCTGAACTACTTCCAGACTTCTCAGCCTTCGTAAAATTATTTAAATGCTCACGATACGGCGTTGAATTTTGAAGGGTAATAGAGGTGCGGGCTTGGTGTTTCAAGACCGCCGGACACGACACTTGCGGTTGTACTCTAGGCACTTCAGCTGGGTTCTGGATGGGTTCAGGTCTCACTATGGCACAGGCCTTGGCATGAGGAAAAGATCAATAAAAAAAAGAGACAAAAGTTTCAGCTTCACAACGTCTTCTTTGATTTTCGTCGTCTTTGTGAAAGTGTGATTTATGTGACTCTAGTACTCATCGTTATGTTGTAACTATTTGCGTCCCTCAACCTGCTCCGATTGTCAATGAACAATAAGTCATTTTGTGTGAATTTCTCCAGATCTGTCAGAAACTTACCATGATGATATGATAGCCAAACTCCGTCCTGGCCTCAGCAATCTTGGGATTATTTGTCGTACTAGGCTCCAGAGCAAACGCCACTTCTTCAAACTTGGGGTCCAGGCTACCCTTGGTTTTCCATCCCAGTGCGCCGCCTGTGATGATTGAGCATGCTGTCAGCTAGGTCGTGTTGTCGATTTGGATGATGATGATGGCTAGTGATGGGCTGTAGCAAACCTTGTCTCGCTTTGTCCTCCGAGTAATTGCGCGCTACTTCGTCGAACTTGACACCATCGTTGAGCTTGGCAAGGGCCTCTTCTTTTTTGGCGTGCTTTTCGCACTTTGGCGCATATCGAAGTTAGAGCTGTGCCTCGAATGAAGGATCTGGCCGCGATACTCACCAGGATGTGCCGCACGTTGATGGCCTGCGCTCCCTTGCCTCTGCCGCCCGATTCTTTGTCCGCCCCTTTGCTCTTACCAGCGGACTTTTCGGCGCCTTTCTTGTCGTTTTTCCCCATGCCGATTGCAGCTAACTAAGCTCTTAAAGTACCTCGCCGGATGATGAATGCTCAATGGCTCTGGTTAATTTTCGGGTGGGCAGGTTGTGAGGTGAGAACTGAGTGTTTGGCTCAGCCCAATAGCTACTCCGTACGAAATACTACTCCATTAAGCGACTTATGGATAATCATCCGCACTTTTTTATTTTGAGTCCGCTTTGTCGTTACCGTGTCCCATAGTCACGGCCCATGGACCAAGGGCCGTTTTCATGAAGCTTGTATTTCTACGCGCATTTGATTCGAGTGATAAGCTACTTAACTACCTAGGTACTTGGTAGCCAACGAGCCAGAAGTCTACATTATGCGCCAAACGCAATTACTATTGGAGAAGGCGCTATTCAAGAACGACCAGCAGCTGCACATCATACTCCTGGAACTTTGTTAGCTGTGTTGTTTGTGGCGCATGGTATTCCGGAGTACGTATACGTTGGCGGCACCGGCGGCTATGCAAGCAAATTACCATCCCGACCCATGAGGACAAGCCCAGTGTATTAGAGCTGAGAAGGGTATTCAGATTCGTACGACCAGCTGTAAACCTAGATTATACGTAGGGTAATGCAGGAATTGGCCAAAGTTACTATTGCCTCAGATAATAGAACAAGAAACGTAAGAAATAATGCCAATAAAGCCAGTTCCAATAGCATCGAGCTCGCACTTGACCGGACAATAACTCTGTCACAAAGTTGACGCAAAAGTTCAAACATCAGTGCACGTGACACCCCAGCTGGCGAATATTAGCCCTCAACAGTCTTGACTTCAATTTTGAAGCCAGCATCATTCACACGATCGAGATACTTTTGTCCCAAGCACGCGGGAGTAAATACACCGCCTCCCAAACCAAGGTCATCTTCAAGAATGGTTAATGCAGCCTCAGCAAGAAACAAACCTGTCACTATGACGCACATGGCAGTCAGTAAAATGATTTTACTATTCGAGGCGTCAGCCTTGATGAACACTTACGCATGTACAAACTGCCGTGGTACCAGGCACGGCAGAAGGCTTGTTTCTGAGATGGGTTGCTCTCAATGTCGGGCGTGGCAGTACCACGAAACTCGATCTCTTCCTTTTCCATATCTTCCCTGCTGACACCCTCTCCTGGCTGGTAGATAAATCTCCTGACGAGGCTCCTGACGGGGGGCACGAACGCCAGGAAGAAGCTTCCAATCGCGAGCCCAAAATGAATAACGATGCCATGGAGCCAATTTCTAGCTTTGAAGTATTCACTCCATGTGAACCTAGGCCCATAGAATTCCTTCTTCCTACTGGGGATCTCATGTAACAGACCCCACGTTCTGGTAACAACGGTCTGATCTGTCGTTCCAGCGATAGATGTGGTAAGAAGACCCAAATTTGGTCGTGATGTGACACCCAGAATGCTTTGGAGGAGTCCTTTTTGCGGTTCAGCGCCGGAGGTATAAGGGATTGGAGATGTCGCAAACGGTTTCGTAGATTCAACGACTTCCTTCAAGGAGAACTTTTCAAAGAGAACTAGCACAGTAGCTAGAGTACCACCCGAGGGAGCAGAACTGCCAATAGTTAGGGTACAGGATTCTTTTGGGGGAGGCGCAAAACGCACTTGAGCTTATGAATAGTAACAACCACGTCCTTGGTTGGGGCATCCAAGTCTGTCCGCACATGTTGTGCCATGGCCCACGAAATTAGGTCAGGCGGCGCAGACTCTATTCCCGACTGAGGTATCATGATGGCTCCGGATTTCTTGGCCGTGCTTTCATACTTGTGAATCATGCGAGCAACCCAGGGAGCCTCGCCGGTGCAATCAAGATAGTGGGTGCCAGTCTCGGCACAGAGTCTGAAAATTGATTCGCCATACACACAGTAGGGACCAACGGTGGTGATAATTACAAAGGTCTTTTTGACCAGAGCTTCCAGTTGAGATTCATCATTGGTATTTGCAATCTCAATACCTAAGAGCTTGTGAGAGCTGATTCATGTGGCGGCTGCACCAAGATGTTTTGAAAGGCAGGGAACAAGCGGCCATGATTAGACATACTGGGTGGCAAGCGGTCAGGATTAAGCTTCTTGCAATCTTCAACTATATTCTGAAGCTTGGATTCCGAACGTCCAGCCACAGCCCACTTCAAATTCGTTGGGAGAAACTTGGCGACATGCTCGGCTGTCAATTGGCCGGTATATCCTGTTCATGAAGCCATTAGCATCACAGCCTTTTTTCAACATTACAAATAACCGTATCATCGCGGTCACGCTTACCAGTAGCTCCAAAGACGACCAGGTCATACTGACGGCCATGGTTTTTGAAAGCCATGATTGCAACATCAAAGCCCGAAGCTCGCGATTGATGGCGTAATGGATCACTAGGGTTCAAAGAAGAGCTGCTACTCCAAACAACCACCACGACAGAAGGATTTATGCAGTGTAGAGCCGTTTTCAAAAACGAGGGTGCAAGAATGGCTCCTTTAAATACTACTGACCGAACTGCGGACTTTGAATATCCCAGCAGCGGCAATGAGGTCAAGCTGTCTTGACTCGAGATTGCTGCCTTGCTTGTGAGTACGTACCCAGCACTGGAGGTTTCGTCCGGCGCCCCAACCCCGGCCGTCGAATTGAATAAGCGGGGAGTTGCCAAAAAGTAGGGGAGGAGTTGATAGTAGGCAAGGTTCGAATGGCGCAGTTAATATTTACTTCTCAGCTGCGCGTTGCAGCTTAGCTACCTAAGTAATGAAAGTGTCATGTACTTCAAGATGCCGCCGCAGAGTCAGTGATAACTGAGCGGAGAATCAAATTAGCGTTCCAGAGGAAACTCCGTCGTCGACTAAACTAGATCAAGGCTAGGCTGCGGGTCCCGCTGTCGAGTGAATTATCACCTGATCAATCATATGATACAAACGGAGCACCCAAAAAATAAAGAAAGAATTTGGAAGAAATGTGGAACTTGAGGCATGTTCGCTTGGCCCGCCGAGCTCACGTGCTTGCCCTAAGGAAAAATCACAACTCCAGCACATTTTCGGTGGCCGCAGCCGCAGTCGAAGTCGAGCATCACACACTTCCCGCCCGTCACTTTGTCGTCTTCCACCCCAACGACAACCCTCACACATCAATCAAGATGACCAAGCGCACGAAGAAGGTCGGCGTCACGTACGTATAAACATAGTCAACACGCCCTCGTATTACTTTTCAATTGCTAACTACGTCTGCAGCGGTAAATACGGTACCCGGTAAGTTGCCAAACTTTTTCTCTCCCGTCCACACGACTATTCCCGATGCCCGACACTCGATTTCGGCTCCAAGGCTCTGGTTTTGACACGGGCTGGTCATAAAAGAAATGGGAGGTGATGCGGAAATTTGGATATTGTCGCCTCGGAAGTTTACCGTCACCAACCACAACGAATTATGCCATACATTACCCAAGCCGGAGCCATGACAAACGACACAAGTTGCCGCCCTCGCCCCGCCAACTACCAAGATTGAACTTGGAAGACGAATAAAAAACTAACATTGTCGTATAGTTACGGTGCTTCCCTGCGAAAGCAGGTGAAGAAGATGGAAATCACCCAGCACGCCAAGTACACCTGCACTTTCTGCGGCAAGGTCACCGTCAAGCGCCACTCGACTGGTATCTGGAACTGCAAGGGCTGCAATCGCACCATCGCTGGCGGCGCCTACGTTGTTGCGTACGTTTCATCACGAATTCCACCCGGCGTTGTCGTCGAGAGTTGTCCACGAAAGGGCAACAAACCATACAAGTGGAGTCGGTTATACTAACTGAGCATGTAGCACCCCCGCCGCCGCTGCCATGCGCTCGACTCTGCGACGATTGAGGGAGATTGCTGAAGTTTAAGGGAGCATTCACGATGGGAGAGGAGCGTTTACGGCATTTGCTTTTCGGTCTGGTGTATGGGGAATTCTGCACTACGAGTTGACGAAATGGACGTCGACATTCGAACTTGGGTCATAGAGGCCGGTCGATTAGCAATGGAAAATAAAAAAAGCAACGGTTTCATGGTCTCTGGCCCATTAATTTTTTTTCCCTTTTTTTGCCGGCTCGCTTGTACCCTGCCACGGTCAAACAACTCGCCTACGACGACAAAACCGTGAGACATGATTTTTCTTTTTCTTCTACAGACAGCATATTTGGACTGCGCACTATATGTTACAGGACAGAAGCAACCATTAAGAATTGAACCGTGCAAAAAGGTGGCCTGGCTTCCCGACGCACAAGGTTCACCCATGAACCATCCGGGCCCTCCAAGCTCTACACCAGTATACCAAAGCACTGTCAAGTTGCATAGTAGACGGGTCGCATCCAGACGTACGCCTCCCAAAACAACTGCAACCCGATATATAAAATCCAGCCCAACTATAAAGCGGCATACGTGAGAAAAAAGAGAAACCACAAGTCTCCAGCCCCAAATGACGTGTCAATTGTCCCCATGACAAGCATAACAAGCCCTAGGTAACCTTGGTAATATGCCAACCACGTCAGAACCAAGCAGGCCCTGACTCGCACCCAAGATAGCCCAGGGTATGCGTAAAGAAATAGACGCTTGCCGAGACTCTTGATAATACCAATGTTGGCAACTATGACTGGCTGGCCACCGTTATTCCTCGTCGCATGCAGGTATCGCCTCCCCTCGGCCCATTCCTCTCCACTCCCCAGCCCCAAGTCTGAGGCTTTTTGCCCTGTGCAAGGCGAGCAAGTAGCGTGTTTTGTTATTATTCCGCCTCATTATCCAGGCTCCTGCTGTGACTACGAGGGCCTGTTTATGCAAATCAACATGACATAGTATTGCCCTCTTTTATTTTTTTGGCGGGTGGCCATGAGTCACTGCAATTTACGGTCTAGGAGGTCGGGGCCCGGCGGCGGAAGGAACAAGACATCCCTGCGTCATATTATATGGGTGACCTGAAAATGAAGCCAGGGCTGTTTGCAAAATAGTATCCAGCCCATACGACGGTTTGACCTGCTCCGCAGCGAGCCAGACGAAGCCAATTTCGACACATACATGCATTACAGCCAGGCCCGTAGCGGCGCGGAAGAGTGTCACGGCCAAGCGGCTGCGTTTCTAAGCCAACGGGGGAATCAAACAGACGTGGTGCTGTTGAGTGGCTTTACAATCGCATGTTGCACAATGAACCAGGCTTACCAAGGACCCGAGCTCCATTGGCCGGAGACGGCTGATTGCCCTCTGGGGTGGGTTTGACTGCGCGGGAATCATGGTAGATTTGCTCGCGAGGGGGGTCAATGTGACGACGATCCAACTCGAAAAAATGTCAGGGGCATGGGAGGAAGAGAAGGAAAACACACACTTGTCAAGTTTTGTGTTGGCGACCAATGCACTAGGCGGGATTGGGTCAATCAAAGGACGCGGAGATCAAACCGTCCAAGGCCCGGGACGCCAAGTTTAGGACATAGTAATTCGGGGCCGTCGTTGTGAGCAGTGGGCTTCGCGGCCTCGTGCGTCAACCCGTGAGAAGGGGAAGATGGCAAACACAGCATTCACCAACCTGTGCCAATCCCCTCGCATCCCACGTACGGCGTAATCGCAACCTCAATGGCGGTGACAAGCGCAGCTGAGGAACCACTCACACCAAGAACGACAAGAAGCTACTAGTTCACGACGTGGCGGACAGAACGTGTCGAGGTCCCCCACCCCTCCCTCGACCTTTAGCAATAAGCAGCAAAGTAAGAATATCCAGCCGTAGGTAGGTAGTTTTTATCGCACTGCCAGAATGGACAGCACAAGTCACGCCCCCCGGATCACTGTGTTTCTTTATCTGCCATGACCGACGAGGCGGAAAAGGAAAAAAGGAGAGAAAAAAAGGCAGCAATCTGTTGTCAGTCTCTCCACAGCCGCCATCAGGCAATCCCCTCGACTCACGACGGTTATCGTACACGCTTTCATCCGAGACTTTCGGATCTGTCCCCCAAGTTGCCAAGTTGCTCTCGGTACTCCGTGCAGGTTCGTCCCCTTGTCACTTCGCTGCCTTGTCGTGCTATTATACGCACAAGGCACTTTAGTGTCGCCTTGCCTTCGTCTACCGTAAGTACACGCCGTACAACAAGAGTCGCCCTGCTCGCCCTGCTAGTGGCCTGCGCGCTGGACGCTTCCTCACCTTTTCCCCCATGCTGTCTTTTGCCATGTACCTCTGGCGTTGCCTGCTGGCGCCTGCAGTGCTCTCGACATTGTCGACGCAATGGTGTCGTCTTGAGTTGTTGCTGGCGCGACTGGTAACGCGCACTGCATCGCCGCTAGGACGTCAACTGCTGGCCGCCTCGGGTGGCGCCCGCTGGTGCTGATTGGTCGCGCCGGGGCGCCTCAGGCTCCCCTAGTGCCCTCCGTGCTCCGCGGCTGAAGGTATCGGCTACCTCCCGGCCCTCCAGCCACCATCGCAAGGTCAGAGTACCTCGGTACCTGAGCACTGCTCCTTCTGCTTGCACTTCTCTGGCGAGACGCTGTCGGCAGGCCCTTCTGCCTGCTCAACGTCTGCTGGTCGCTGGGTACCCAGGTACTGCCGCTGTGGGTTAGCTGACATGGAGGTCAACTCTCTCCTCAAGCTCCATGTCTCTTTCTTCCCTTCCCGCCCACTGGCCCGCTTCATCTGGACTCTTTCCCTCTTCTTCCTCTCTCCCTCTCTCCCCCTCTCCCATTCCCATTCCCATTCCCATCCCCCCCATCCCACTCTAGTCCGCACTCGGTCCACTGCCACCAGCCAGTCCTCAGCTCTACCTGCTGCACCACCGCCCGCCCACCATCGCCACCACCACCACCAACTGTCCCTGCCTGCTACCGCCTAGTTGGCCCATTCATTGATCACTTGCCCACCCAAGCAGCTCCACTAATACACCAACGCTCCAGAGACCAGACACGGCGCTCAGCACTCAGCACTTAGAAGCACCCGCTCAGTCGTCAACTGGTACATACAGGTTCGCAACTAAACCAGCAGCACTTGGCCATCTGCTCCCGTATCCAAAACGACTGTTGCTTGGTTGCGCCTCTACCGTCTGATTATTTCTTTTCCAATCTTATTTTACATGTTTTCATCATATTTGCCTCTGCATCATCCCAACTGGCGTCATGGACGAACCTGAGCAGTGCATCATCTGCTTGGATCCTCTGCCGCACCCCTCGTCTCTGTCCTCGCCGCCTTCGCCTTCGCCTTCGCCTTCGCCCGTCAACGGTGCAGGCACCAAAGACGCCCCAGCGACCACCAACTCGACCGACGCTGTGGCCGACGAGACCAGCCATCTCAACCTAGTTGCCGCATTAGATGGATGCGAACATATTATTCATGATGCCTGCATCCGTTCCTGGGCTCAAAAGACGAATACTTGTCCCATTTGTAGGACACCATTCCACTGTGTTCGCGTGTACAATGGTGTAGATGGTACGTGCAGCACCCAGCACCCAGCACCCTCCACCAGCATGGCCTTGCCAGCAACAGCCCAAACCCAGAAAGAAAGAAAAAAGAGAAAAAAAGAAAAAAGAAAACCCCAGACGATAATAGCCGTGGACATGTATGCTTACTGGTTTTAGGGACTGCCATTTCTACCTACGATGTCATAGACAAAAAGCAAGTCGCCGAATTCGATGTGCAAGCCTGGCTTGGAGAGAACATCGTGGACCAAGAGGAGGAGGAAGGCAACCCTTGTCCCATATGCAATTCGGCCGAGCGAGAAGATATTCTACTATTATGCGACAGTTGCGATGCTGCCTATCATACGCATTGCATCGGACTCGATCATATTCCCGAGGGTGACTGGTATTGCATAGAATGTGCTCACTTGTTCCAACTCACCCAGGATCAACCTGAGCGAACAGATGCTGAACCAGAGTCGCCACATCCCCAGCTTGTCCAACGCCCGCACCCACGAGATGTCCGTGGCTATCATGTTCGGACTCGCCAGCGGCTCAGACGAGCCCGCCGCCAGGCTCGTAACGCTGAGTGGCAAGGCGCCTGGGGACAGTTTTCTGGTCGTTTCTACGAGATGAGCGATCTAGATCTCGATAATCACGATGACGAGGATGAAGACCTCGAACAGTTTCGTCGCTTCCAGCAGCTCGACCGTCGGGAGTTGGACCGATGGCGACAACGCATGGATATCGCCAATCGTCTCGGTGCTCGTGAGACTTTTGCGAGCACCATTCCGCCACAAATCAGCGAGCGCCTACAACCGCCGCCGCCGCCAGTCGAGGAAACTCGTGACGAAAGACGTGCATGGGGTGCGTTCGACCGTGCTCGAGAGGCTGAAGTTGCAACCAGCGGAACTCGTAAGCGAAAGAGCCGATCAGTCACCGCATCTCCGGCCGAGCCAGTGCAAGAACCAGAAAGGAAATTGAAACGCCCACGAACTAGGAGATTGCCCTCCCAGGCCGAAGCCTCTGCCTCTGCCTCTGCCCCTTCATCTGCTACCTCTGGCCCATCTAGTGCACGCCCGACGACGACCTCCATCACCGCGACGACGACTGAAACCAGTGGAATCAATGGTATGAATGGCATCAACGGCACAAATAGGACTTCGTCGAGAAACGGCTTGACTCGGATGGAGAGCGCAACGCCCTTAGTATCGTCACTGCTTAAGGAGTTAGAACCGAATCCCTTGTCCGAGGATGAGACGCCGGTATTAACTCCAAACTGGCGTGTGCCTCCGGAAGCATCCTCCCCCGCCCTCTCCCCCTCCCCCTCAAACCACAGCAGCCCTCGAGCTCTGTCCTTGACTCCACCACCACTTCCAAGCCTTAATGGTCGGCCGACCTCTCCGACCCTATCACTTAGCACACATATCGAGCCACGATATCCTCCCGCAAATTACTCTCCTACCCGATCCAACAGCGATCA